CGCTAGAAGATTAATCGTATGATATTCATTTGCGGACAGAAAATTCACTTACAAAACGAGTCATTGAGATAGAAACATCTCAGTCCTGTCCTACTGACTAGAGACTGAGATGTGCGTACAGATACCCACTTAGACTGCCTGTATATTGATGAACCTACTATTAGATATTCGTTTAGGTACATACCAGGAGTCCTGTCCTACTGACTAGAGACTGAGATATATTCGTTTAGCCTTGCCCTCGCGTTATCAACCTTAACAAGTACCATTTTAAGGACATCGAAACATCATAAGGCCTTGACAGGCACTACTGTTGAGAGGATCAGCGACATCAGAGTAGGAAGTAGGAGTGAGGTATGAGCTGATATGACGTGCCTGCGAGTGATGTTGGCCGAGCCTCGTATGTTTCAAAATCATATCATTGCTTATTTTCTTCTCCGAGTTTTACCGTTAGCATATGTTAAAAGAACATTTCCGCTGTAGAAACATCTCAGTCCTTTTACCAAGACTGAGATGTGAGCCATACATTTTCATTCCCTCGTACACTGAGCTAACAGCACTATTAGAATACATTCTCTTCTAGGTAGCTACTCATGTACAAGAGTCCTTTTACTGAGACTGAGATAATACATTCTCTTCTAGCTCGAACTCCCTGTGTGCGCTCGTCTCAAATCACTATAGGTTATGAGCCCTGGTGTGGTTACGATGGATACAACGCTCCCCAACTCCAACTCTGCACTGTTCAACATCCCGAAATTAGCTGAGGACAGATCAAATTGGATCATGTACAAAGAACGTACCTTGACTGCAATTGGAGCGTGAGGTATGATGCGTTATGTGGACGGCCATGCTAGAAAACCTGCTCCGTTCATAATAGACCCCGAGAGTGGTCTGGCCGAAACGGAAGATGGGACGATGCCTACCAAGGAAGAGATCAAAGCATTAGATGAGAAAATGGACGAGTTCTACCAAAAGAACTCACTGGTGAAGCAACAGATCTTCAGCACAATAATGGACAGACTTCTACTCCGTGTGCAAAAGCTTGAGCTCGCATCCAGAATCTGGGCCGAGATCTGCAATATTCACAAGGGTAAAACCGAGTTAGTCCAAATCAACTTACGTCAACGCCTTCAAGACTTGAGGTGCGATGAAAACACTGATGTGAAGGCGCACTTCGCCGAACTGCTTAGGCTCCGTGAGTCCCTCGCTGGCATGGGTGCCTCCGTCGAAGACAGAGATTTTCATGCTATAATCCTCGGGTCCCTCCCAGAATCGTATAGACCGCTCCTGTCGTCCATTAATGCCACAGCCAAGATCCTCCAGACACCTCTCTCCCTGTATGAGCTGATCAGGGTGGTCAGTGAGGAATATGAACACTGCCTCCTAACAGATAAATGCACCTCCAAAAGGGCATCCAGCTCTGCGCTCACGGCAAGAGGAACCAATGGGAAAGGCCATAGCCCCAGAACCAACAAGCCAAAAGATGACAAAGTCGTCTGCTTCAATTGTGAGTGAAAGGGGCATTACAAAACGGACTGTTGGCATCCAGGGGGAGGAAAGGAGGGGCAAGGCCCCAATCAGCACCAGAGCATGGGCAAGAAGCAGGTAGCCACTGCAGCCACCGAGTCCGAGCCCAAGGAGAACTATGCATTTGTCACATCAGAACTCGTGGGATTAGCTAGCAAGCTCAACATACCTCCAGAGTGCCGAAGTGCTATCATGGACTCCAGAGCATCATCACACTTCTGTCCGGAACGCGACAGATTCATGAACTACATGACAATTGCCCCGCAGGACATTCAAACGGCTGATGGAATGAAGATGAGTGCCATTGGGAAAGGAGATGTCTCACTAGGCCTACCTTTGGGAGACAAGAGGACTAGGGTAATGTTGAAAGATGTACTTTATGCGCCAAAGATGGTGTTTACTCTGATCTCCACTAATCGCATAATGGCCGCCAGTCTAGCCGTGCACTTTGAGGAGCGAATGTGCAAAGTGCTCTCTCCTGCTCCAGGACGCCAGATAATCACTGAAATACCCCAGATAGAGGGTCTATATGCTGTCGTCAGCACCCAAAAGCACTATGCCCACGTTGCAAAAGCCAGACTTACCTTGTTCTAGTTACACAAGGCGCTAGGCCGCATGTCACAGTCAGCAGCTAAATACACCGTGGAAAAGGGCCTTATCACCGGAGTAGAGCTCCAAGAAGGCTCCAATGAGGAGTTCTGCGAAGCATGCGCAAAGTCCGAGTCAGCTTGACATCTGTTTCCGAAAGAGACAAATTGAAGAGCTAAGACTTACGGAGATACCATCCATATGGACCTTTGGGGCCCTGCCCAGACGAGCAGCTTAGTTGGATCCCTATACTATATGTCCTTCACGGACGATTTCTCATGGGAGACTACCGTGACATTTCTGAAGCACAAGAGTGACGCTCTGGACGCATACAAGTGATACGAGGCGAGACTTACCACGCAACATGGGGCTTGAATTAAGACCTTGCATTCTGATCGCGGAGGAGAGCACCTAAGCACTGATTTTGATGCACATCTAAAGGATAAGGGTACCATGCATGAACTCACCATACACGACTCACCTCAGCAAAACAGTGTCACAGAGAGGCTTAACCGCACATTGGTGGAACATGCCTGTGCCATGCTCCTAGCTCGCGGAATGCCAAAGTTCCTGTGGGCGGAGGCCATTAACTATGCGGTGTGGCTGAAAAATTGCTTACCATCGAGGTCTATCCCTAGTCATACTCCCTTCAAACTGGTCCATGGGAGGTATGCGGATGTATCTGCGGCCCACGAGTTTGGGTGTCCAGTCCTTGTCCACGTTGAGAAGGCCGGGAAGCTGGAGTCGCATGCAGAGGAGGCTAAGTTTGTGGGAGTGGACATGGAGAGTAAGGCTTACCGAGTGTATTGGGAGGGGAAACACTGGGTGTCCGTTGAATGGAACATCATGTTTGTGCCTGGGAGCATCGTCATTGCTGATGGTATCCTGGATGAGGGGGAGTCCACCCCAGTAAAAGCTAATGTCAATAGCATCCAGGAAACATCAACAACGGACTCACCTGCCCAAGCTCCAACACCCTCTACCCCTACCAAGGCACCTCAGACTCAAGACACACCTCCTGCGCCTAGAGCCACCAGAATGCGCCCACCACCAGGATATTACACCGCTCTCAATGAAGAAGAGACAGCGACCTTTGCAGCGACCTTAAATCAGCTGGAGGATGGAGATGATGAAGGACTTACTGGATGGCAGTGGCACGTGCTAGCAGCAGCTGTTGGAGAGCCTATGCTGGCCCAGGCACTGAGTGGTCCGGATGCAGAGGAATGGCAAGAAGCTATAAACTACGAGATTGGTCAGCTGGAGAAGCTGGGGACATGGGAAGTGCTTACCCTACCAGCTCGTGCTAACATAATCCCATGTCACTACATACTAGCTACCAAATGTGGACTGGACGGCCAGAAGCTGAAGCTTCGATCTAGACTGGTTGCCAACGGTCAACGTCAGCAGTACGGCCTTGATTATTTTCAGACCTTCGCACCTACCTCCCATATGACCACCATCCAAACTATCCTCACCATGGCAGCACACCTCGACTGGGAAATTCACCAGGTCGACATCAAAAGCACCTACCTCTATGCAGAGCTCAAGACATCTACATGTGTGCGCCGCCGGGATATTTGAAGGCTGGGGACGAGGGAAAGGTACTGAAGCTAAAGAGAAGCTTACCGGGGTTAAAGCAGGCAGGATATGAGTGGTCTGAGGAACTCGCATCAGTCTTTGGGAAGTTGGGGTATTCACATTCACAGGTCGACCAGGCGGTCTTTTACCGTCACTCAGATGATGAGCAAATGGTCATCACTATGTCTGTAGACGACATGGCTGTCACGTCAAGGCACCTGCACCACATTGACAAGTTCAAGAATGAACTCACCAAGTACTTCGACATTACAGACTTAGGCGAATTGAACTGGCTGCTCGGACTCAAAGTCGAGTGTGACCAGGTCGCTTGAACTCTTTCCCTTTCCAATGAGCTTACGTTAACACTGTTTTAGAGCATTTTTGGATGCAGGACGCCAAGACATGCCAAATGCCCATGGAAACCCCTATCCTACTCTCAGATGCCCAATGCCCTGCCACACATGCGCAGCTTGAGGAGATGCAAGACATACCATATCAGAAGGCCATAGGCTCCCTCATGTACGCTGCAACAAGCACCAGACCTGACATAGCCTTCGCTGTAGCCAACCTCTCGCAGTTTATGTGAAATCCGGGTAGAGCCCACTGGGACTCTGCCAAGTGCATCATCCACTACCTAAAAGGTACAGCGGACATGGCACTTACCTTTGGCAACACCAACGAAGGGCTAGTAGCCTATGTGGACGCTGACTGGGCCTCCCAGCCCCACAGGCACTCGATGTCGGGTTACATTGTAATGTTAAACGGCAGACCCATGGCCCGGAGTGCTAGAAAACAGCCCATCATTGCTTTGTCAATGGCCGAGGCAGAGTACATCACACTCACCTCCGTTGCTCAAGAAGTCTTATACTTACAGCTACTACTTGATGAACTCTACCAGATCGTTGACCTCCCCACTCCCATCCAATGTGACAATCAATCAGCAATTGTGTTAGCCTTGAACAACAAGTTCCAATCCCGCACCAAGCATATCGACTTGCATTATCATTTTGTTCGCACCCACGTCAAGAATGGCACCTTCGCCCTACAGTACTGCCCTACAGATGACAACATCACGGATGCATTCACGAAAGCATTGAGTCGGCCTCATCACCAGAAGCTTAGGCTTCTCATGGCCCTAGACAAATCCGCTCGAGGGGGAGTGTTGAGAGGATCGGCGACATCGGAGTAGGAAGCAGGAGTGAGGTACAATGTCATACTATCAACACAGATCCTCCAATGTTCAGTAAGACATAAGTCAGCTCTCAGGACGATTAGCTCTGAAACCATCCTTTTCAAAGCCCTTCAGTACCATGGCTAGTTTGCGCAATACCTCCAAAACAAGTCGCGAAGAAATACTATCAGATCTCCTATGTGTTCCTGTGAAGTTTCGTGCAATTGTTCCTTCCCATACTCTCTCAGTTACTCAGCTGCTTGTCTTCGACTTCCCTACAAATCTCGAAACTAATTCATCATGTACCAATATCATCCTTTCCAAAGAGCCCCCCATGGTCCAGCTCCCTGCAGACTTTGTTTCGCGATCAGTTCCTGCATTTTCAATGGCCACTGCACTTCGTGATCATGCTACCAGTGCATGGCAAGACCGAGATCAATCAGTCATGCACTCATCATTCCCAAATGATCCACTTCCTTTGTGGGTCTTGTCATACTGGGTGTCTATGTCTCATGCACTTGAGCATCAACGCGATTGGCATGCATCACACAACTGGATCTTAGACTGACTGGACACTGTTTCAGGTGACTGCGCTGAGTTGGAAACCATTGACGACATTTTAGATGTCATAGAGTGTCTTCCATGGGATGTTCCACTCAAGGGAGTCGGCGCTCAGACTGATCTATCTACTAGTGGACTCCGGCCGCTGTTGGCATCAGGTCCAATTGGCAGTCACATCATGGATACTATGATTGCTGCGGTAGTCGAACATATGCAAGCATCTGAAAATGGAGACCTTCGGACAGTCTGTGTCGAATCCCTCGTCCTTATGGATACACTTCAGCTCAACGAGAAGCAGTGGGCAAACTATGAGACTGTGAAGGCTTTTACTCGCCTTCATGCCATAGGCTCTGCGTTACACGAAGGAACACTTCAGCGTGTCCTCTTTCCTATCAATATTCATGACATCCATTGGGCTGCTATCAAGGTCAATGCAATCAACCGAACCATCCCATACGCTGATTCTCTTGGGTGGAGTTGGCCCACTCGTGACATTGACACCATTTGTCATTGGCTGGGCGATCATGGCCTCTCTGGATTTAGTAATGCAAATGCACTACAGTGCAGTCAACAGCTGGATTCATTTTCATGCGGAATTGCAGCCATCAACACCATCAAGCATGCTGTATTTTGTGATCCTTTGTTCGATGATAATGGAGCATTCTCCCTCCGCATGGAAGAATTTCTGGATCTTACTTATGATCATCTTGAGGTACGGGCATCTTGTGCTAACTGATGCAACATTGTTGATCGAATATTGGTTTTATAGATCTCGGTTCCTGGTGACGGCATGGATATATGTAACAGTTCAGATGTGGACGATGCCAGTGACTTTGAGCCAGAAGAGACTTCCTCGGGTGCAGAGAGCGAACACGATCTTGAGGTAGAAGAGACTCAGCCATCTATCCCCACCCAACCATCATCCATGCAAACTAATAAACCAAAACTTGACCTCCGTACAACTGACACAGACCAAAACAAAGGTCTGTTCAAGTTCTTCCCAAAAGTATCATGCGAGGAGCATCTACAACGTGCTTGGAAGCCTTTCACTTGGGAGCTCAGAGATCAGGAGTGGGACCATTATCAGCAAGAATGTAATAAGTTCAAGAAGGCTACTCACAAGTGTGAAAGAGCAGCTGAGCAAAAGAGAAAACAGCGAACACATGAAAAAGCTGCTAAGGAGGTGAGCATGTGTCTTCTTTTCGCTCCGAGTCATCTTAATGGCTTACATGTTCTGTCATCAGAAACCCACCATCAATTCCATTCTTCATGATAGCAATCCTCAGCCACCAGCCATCACTATTGCAGAGGCATCACGTCCATATTGCCAATTGCAAAGGCATGCTCGTAGCAAGCGCACACACAACCTAGGCCAGAAGCGCAAGCGGGGGGACACAGATGCTTTGCGTGTCAACTGGCAAAGCCCCCTGCTATGGCCAACTATTGAAATGGCCGCTCTCCGTGTTGGCTATGGGATGTCACCAGTGCAGATTGAGCGCGAGCTTAAATGAATCGACCCCACTCGCTTTGGTGGTATCCACGCACAGGTTATAGGAAGCTGGATAGACCATAGCAGGGCACAACCAGCATGGCATGCCAATGTGCTTGCCCGTGTTTGAAAGGGCAATCTTCCATTAACCAAGGCAACACCACCTACTATCCTCTCAAAGTATCCTAATGTTGTCAAGACCATCGTGGAAGATCTGCGCACTGTTGGTGTAGCTTTAGACATCATGCGTTGTCATGGTGTAATCATCGCCCGCCTCACTGTCTCTTGCCCTGAGGTCTTCGAGGCTGTTGCGAAGGATGGCTCATGCTTTCAATGCACAGAGTCTTGGGTAAAGAAGTTTGTAGCTGCAAATCTCAATTGGTTGTTTCATCGCGCAACCCATGCTGCACAGAAGACCCCTTCCAACGCCGATAAACTTTGTCTAGACCAATTCCTTTGCTTAACTTTGACCATTTGGAACTGCGCAATTTTTCATGCTTGTTTCTACATCAACATTGACCAGACAAATATTGTGTATCAATCCACAAACACCGCTACATATGAAGAAGTTGGTTCCAAGCAAGTTGCGGTCGTCAGACAGGAGGAGAAGCAAGCATTCACTGTGGTGGTTGGCATATCTGCCTCCAGCGATGCTCTCCCATTTCAGGTCATCTCCTGTGGCAAAACTACACTCTCCCTCCCCACGAAAAGCACGCCACAATTCAAGGAAGCACAATGCTTAGGCTTCAAGCTGTGTTTTTCAAATATCGACACGTACTGGTCAACATTTGAGCTCATGTGCGACTATGTTTGTAATATCCTTGTCCCTTACTGGACAAGACAGAAGGAGCTCATTGGTGCACCCAATGATCAAGAATGTATCTTACACCTGGATGTTTGGTCAGTCCACAAGTCCATCCAGTTTCGCACTTGGCTTGATCAACATTACCCATGGATCAAGTATCACTTTGTCCCTGGCAGTTGCACTGGTATTGCCCAACCATGTGATGTTGGTGTCCAGCAGCCATTCAAGCTTGCTGTCAAACAATGTCAGCATGCTGACATCGTTGACAAGTCTTTGTCATTGCTGAAGAAAAATGATGCCGCTGCTGCTGTTATTCGACTCCACACAATGTTGCCCACGCTGTGTGATAGATCATTGCACTGGCTTATCAATGGCTATCATGCCATTAACAAGCCCAACATTGTTAGACAAGTAAGTACACCATCCTTGTATCCCTCACCAATGACACTGACACATTCAGGCATTTTTTCAATGCAAGGCTGGCACTTCATTCAATCTCTCCTTCGACAGCCTTACCAGCCGCAAAGCTCTTCAAGCACTGTGTGATGTAGAGAAGAATGATGTCGAGACATGGGACTGAATCAAGACGGCTCAATACAAGGTTGAAAAACCTCAATCCGAGTTGGCACTAGACGAAGTTGAGCCACCATTTGTGTATGCTGCAGACGTTGAACTCGACCCTTGCGATGTTCCTGTTGATGCTGTACTAATCCACATGACATCAGGAGGGTCAGTCCCTCATGGCTACAGTACTGATGATTCTGGCAATCTGCTGGCTTGCAACAAGGCAGAAAGTTATGACCAAGAGCTTGCAGCTTCTGCCACGGAAGGTGATGAGGAGATTTTTGGTCGTGGAAAGCGCAGACACATGGAAAATATGCAGTACAAAATTTTTTGGAAACATTGACCATAATCTACACTTTTTTTCATGTTTTACCATATGTCACAATTTAGCTTTGACAAGTTCAATTTCGTGTGACAGTCACACAAAATAGCTTTGATTCGTTGGACGTGTGACACTGTGACGAAGCTAAGTGCGTATCTCTACAGTATCGCCTCATGAAGTCCTCGTTGTCACATAAAGTCGCATAACTCTCTTCTCTGTACATGCATATACAAACTACATTGTCCATACTGTCGACTACATGGCGCCAAATCGTTCAAGCTGAAGTAAATACAATTATACTGAGAAAACACTGACTACTGGGTCAAAATGCCCCCACTGCGGCAACATGTTCAAATTGCAGGGCTACAAACAGCACAAGTCAACGTGCAAGATGCGTGATGTGCAGGGAAAAGAGAACTTCAATAGAGAGTTTGATAGAGACCAATGAACAGGTGAGTTGTTTTTAGTTTCATTCTATTATCAGCTACAATACTAACTATTGACATCGAAATAGCTCATCATCTAGCTCGACGAGGCACAGCGGCCTTGATGACAGTTGCAGGCCCATCATGCACAGTTGAGGATGACCCTGGGTTAGTGGTGTTCCAGCCTGGCTTGGCCCAAAAGCCGCGGCTTTGGCCTGCAAAAAATCCAGACTGGGTCAAAGCCACCAATGATGGCTGGCTTTGGCCCGGCCCTGGCCTGAGCCATGGCTCAAATAGTGAAAATGTAGTTAGTGATCTGGAGGCCAAGGATGCTTACAGACATTGTATGTTCCATTCCAGCGTATACAGTGCCACGTCTGGAGTTGTTGGAACTGGCAGGAATTGGGACTGCAATGAAAGACGAGGGGCTTGTGAGGCTTTTGGGAAGGGTATCTGAGCTCCATCACACCATTCCCAACACCACAAACACTATGTGCAAATGCCCAGTGCACGTCAGCAACTGCTGACGTGGCTCAGACAAATGTGGACAATGGATGAGAGCAGGAGGAGGGAAGAAGGTGAGGAGGAGAACGAAGGAGAGGAGATGGATGAGATGAGATGAGCAGGGAGGAAGACATCGAGTAATGTGCTCAAGTTCGAGTAGCGTAGGAAGCTTGAAATACAATCTGTGCGATGGAGAGCTTGAAGCACTTGTGAGACCTATTAGATATTTTTCAAAACATCAGACATTTGACTCACCGGATGAGCAAGTGAATTGGCAAAGTTCGAACAGTAAACTGGACGTCGTGTTCAGTTCAACAGTAAGACGGTCATTTGCAAGACCATTGTCCAGCGTGTAAGGCCAGTATGCATTGGTACTTGGGTCTGTGACAGGAATCGAAGAGGCAGAGGAAGAATCATAAGTGAAATCAACGTTCACAGGGTATAGTTGGTATAGTTAAGAGACGTGAAGCATGATGGAAGTAGTGCCTCCGAAGTCTGGTCCCAAACCTAGGTTCGAACTCGAACCTTTGCGGACTGGACCATTGGTTCAGTCACAGGTCCGATATTTCTGCTGGACCGAACCCCCTAATAGGTCCAAGGTCTGGTATTTTCCTGGAGCACGTGAACCGGTCCAGACACGTCCGGACTGGTTTGAACCTGATGTATTTGTATCCAACTTAGATTCTCAAACCGGCAACGAAGCCTCATGTTTTTGGTAAGGTTTTCTGTTTAAGCATTGTGCTTGCCCGTCGCTTTACCGTCTTCCCTCCCTTCTAGCCTACTTGCAGTAACTACATTGCCCTCATCCGTGTTCTTCTCTTGGTCTCTTCAGCAATGTGACTTATCGAGGTGCCGGTACATTCACAACACATTCACTGTTTGTCGTTGCTAACTTCTAATGACATTTATTTCAGGACATACTGTCTGCACTTTTGATTCACCACACTGCCGTTCTGGCATTTGTTCACACTCCGGTGTTTTCTGGTGTGGAATGTTCATGTATCGAGGCTTTATGGTGTGCAATCATTTTGAATTTAGTTAAAATATACTTACTTGTTGTATAAGTTGGCCATTTTCACTTCCTGCTACCGCTACTGCTGCCACCATGTCCTCCGCACGTCGCATTGATGGTTCACTGAAAGATGCTAGCAAGATCGATTGGTACAATGATGCCGATGATGACACTCCAATGCTTCCTCCCCCTCCCCCTCCCACGCACAATGGCACTCTTGGCTCTTTCATACGTCGTTCGGGTCGTGCTGTCAAACCTACGGAGAAGGTCCGTGAGACTGCCAGCAGCAATTCAGCCAAACGGTCAGCTCCAGGACCTCCTCAAGGTGCCCCTGCACCCAAGCGAGCATTCACTGGTACTGATGAGGATGAGGACACCGAAGAAGAAGCCCCACCACTCGAGGATTTCATGGTGTAAGGCCAACAATGTCGCACTACACCAGTGCTTTTTCAAGGGTGGTATCTCAACTCGATGAACGCACATCGCACGCAATCCCAAGTGCCATTTCCCAGTTTATCGGGACCGCTGCAAAGAACGCGGTCTTGTAATGCACAATTGTGCAATACCTCATGACCTCAAGACCGACCTCAAGACGATGAGTCAGGCAACCTTGGACGCCTCTCTTCCTCCCAAAATTCCAGTATTCACGAAGTCTGGACTTATGGATTACATCGTTGAACTCATTGTTGCTGAGGATGAGGTGAGCGACTTCCTTTTTTGATATAATTCTAAGATACTTATACATGTAGGCCTTTCAACTTGTAGATAAGGGACCCTTCCGTCGCCTTCTCCAGTATGTCCGGCCGTCACTTTCAGACCGAGACATTCCCCACCATACCAAAACTCAGGATGAAATACTCAAACGTGCAAATCTGGTAGTTGAGCACATGAAAGAGAAGCTCAAGCACATCGATAGCAAAATCTCTATGACATTTGACTCGTGGACGTCTTTGCCTGGTCACCCTTTCCTATCCCTTACTGCACATTATATAGATTCCCCGGCTGACAAGCCTCAAGAGTGGGAACTCAAGATGGAACAGCTCGCATTCACACCCATTCACAGCAACCACAGTGGTGCAAACGTCGGCAAGATTTTGATTGAGAACATTGACAAATACGGTATTCGCATGAAGCTCGGGTGGTTTACAGCAGACAACACTACTAACAACGATACTGCCATTGAGACTGTCGCTAACTCTATTGACCCTTCAGGTGAGAAGTGGAATCCAATCGAGCATTGAGTACAGTAAGTTTTTCTATTTATGATATACTTAAGTTGAGATTACTGACAAGTATTCAGTTGTATGGAGCACGCACTCCACTTAGCAGCAAAACATTTCGTCGAGGAGGTGGCTCCTACACCAGCAAGTGTCTTGCACAAGAATGCGGCTCAGGCTCAGGCTGAAGATGATGAGGATGAGGAAAGTGTTGAATTCGAAGTCGGTGACACTGTTGGCAAAGCACTTGCGTTTGTCGCGCAGGTAAGTTATTAAATCATCTATCTGCTATTGTATACTAACATGACACCTTTGTTTAGGTATGGAAGTCTCCTCAAGCTCGCGCCTTCCTTCAAAAGTGCTGCATCAAGGTGAACGAGCCCCCGTTGGAGCTTTTGAGATGAGTGTGCACACATTGGGCCTCTCTGTTTAGTATGCTGGAGTGCATTTTTCAATTGCACAAAGTAAGTCATCTACTACTGACTACATGAATACATCGCTGACTTGATTTTTCAGGGAGTGAACAGATTCATCCAACTCGCCAATGACAGCGATGAGGTCCCGAAGTTGAAGGACAAATCATACGTTGATTTCAGGCTTTTGGCACACGAATGGGGGGAGCTGGACTTGATGCGTGAAGTCCTTCAGGTTTGTCATTTCCCTCCATCTTTTACATTTAAGCTTGCTTATGTGCTGTGCACACAGGAACCTGCAGACGCTCAGCAGAGTTTCTCGGCAACTCGTGAACCAACTGTATGGCAAACTATTCCGGTGCTTGAATATCTTCAAGAGACGTTGCAAAATATGGCCAACTCTTCAAAATTCAGCCGCTTCTCAACAGCCATTGAAGCTGGTGTCGCTAATCTCAGCAAGTGGTATGGTAAGACTGATGACATGGACATCTATTTTATTTGTCTTGGTATGTATTGTATTTATTTTAATGCCTATGAATGATGCTGACATTTTTGATGTAGCGCTCGACCCCAACTACAAGGTTGCATACACCAAAGACAAATGGGCCCCTCATTTTTTCGAAATGGGGATGCAATCCCTCGAGAGAGTGGTATGTCGCTTGTCATTACGCACCTCAATTGTATACTAATCTTACATAGTTTGATATATATCATCATTGCAGTACTGTCTCACAGGCTCCTGCAGAGCCATCTGTCACCGTGCCATCTTCGCTCACTCGCCAAGAATCGTACGGCCATAGTTGGATGCGCAGCTCTGTCAAATCGTGTGTTGTGAACGACACAACCACACAAAGGCCTTGTTAAGAACTTGAGGACTACCTAGATGCACCCCTTGAGGATGTCGACAACGTAGTGGGCTGGTGGGGGGTACATCTTATTGTTTAATTTATGTTGTTTACATACTAATACCATCAAAAAACTTTTCAAGCACCATTCTATCCAGTACCCAACCATCTCACGCATCACGAAGGATTACCTTGCCATCCAGGGATCTGCAGTTGCGTCCAAGCGTGCATTTTCAAGTGGCAACATTACTGGGACCGCACGTCGCAGCTGTTTGCAGCCAGCAACATTTGAGGCTCTCCAGTTGCTCAAGAGCACATACCGTCAAGGCCACATTTCTGCAACATCCCAGGCTGAGTTTGCTGCTCCTTATGATAACCGCATTGTTGTCGAGGAAGAGTTTTAGTAGTTATTTGTACTAGCAAGTTTTGTTCTCATTTTTTGTCAATTTTAATTTTTTTTGCAATTCAAACAATGGTTCGAGAGTTCGAACGTGTTCTGAACCTGAACTGAACCCTTCCGAATGCGTTCAAAGGCGTCCGGTCCAAGGTTCGGCCACCATGCCTGAACCTGACCAATGGTCGAGTTCAGGGTTCGCAGACATAGGGCCATGAACCTGACCGAACCGGACTTCAGAGGCACTAGATGGAAGTGATTAAAGAGATAAAACAAGACAAAATAGAAGCCAGATTCTCAGTTGAGCTTGGGCGCTGCAAGGCTCAGGCGCAGTTCCAAAAGCCGTGGCCCAAGCCACCGGCTTCGGCTTTTCATAATGTCAGGCCAGGCCAAAGCCGTCAACAGGCCGTGACTTTGGCCTGGCTTGGCCTGGCCCACGGCCTGAAGCCGGGCTGTGCACATCACTACCCTGGGTCCCCAGCCCCAGGACAAGGTGCATTATCATTTGCTCCAGTTTGATACACTGCTCTGACACTTCAATGATCTTTCAGCCGCACCTACTATAGCTAGTCCTTCATTGGATAGTCGCAACACCATGGACTTTGACCCTGGAGATCAAGGCGTTCCAAGCCCAGGTATGTACTTACATCTTCTCATTCATCAACTGACTAACAATTGTTTATGCGATAGTCTTATCTGATGCCAGTATGGCCAATAACCTCCTACCTCAGCCTGTGCCTATTGAACAACCTTACGAATTCAAAACCGAATTTCACCCTCGCAGTGGTCGTGAAATGCTCTACCAACACTTTGAGGAGTTTGGCGTCACTCCTGAGATGCAAACACTTCCTGCAGAGGAAGAACTGTGGCGTCCATTCCAATCACATGGAGATTTTGAATTTTCTGAAATTGCTCTCAATGCTGCTCTCAACAAGAACCAAGTTGACTGGCTGCTCAGTCTCATGGCTCGCATATCGCAGAGTCAGGCTCAAATCACGCTGAAAAATGAGGCCGATCTGCGCAAGGCATTAGACAATGCTGTGGCTGAGCTGACACCAGTATGTCTTTCCTTTTTTTCTCAAGATATTCATCTCTAAGTATTCAGATTTTTGTATACTAGTTTTCAAAACATGAAGTCAAGGTTCCATACAAGAAGGAGGAATGGGTCTACAAGGTGCATGCATGTCCCTTATGGGACTGGGCCCTTGATCTGTTGAATGACCCACTGCTAGCACTGCATTTTGTTTGGGACGTGCAACGCGGCTACAAACATGACAGTACGGACTTTGAATGCTTCTTCAATGAACCGTGGACAGGTGACTGGTGGTGGGATATTCAAGTATGTCATTATGTTTGATACTCATGTGTATGTATGTACAGTCTCATCTCCCGCCAGATCTGAATGCCGCCCCCTTTTGCTTTATATTGTATGCTGACAAGACTAGGCTCTCTTCACATGGCACTGTTAAAGGGTACCCGGTTGTGGCGCGTTGCGCAAATCTACCTGCTGAAATTCGAAATGGCGAGGGGATTGGCGGTGGTCGGGTAGTCAGGTGGTTACCAATTGTGAGTCCCATTCACTTTGTACATACTCTGAATTGGTTCTAACATGGCTACTATTACTGCAGATTCCAGAAGACGCGTCCGAAGAGGGGAAACTTGGATACACTACCCTGAAGTGTGTCATATGGCATGAGTCATTCATCAAGCTTCTCGTTAACCTTGACCAGTACTCAAAGACTGGGTATTCATATGCATGCTATGATAATCTCTTATGCTGGTTATTTTCCGTCATACTGATCCTTTCTGGAGATTATGAGGAACAGTAAGTGTGCCATCTGTTGATATACACAGAGCCTCACTTTCCTTGATGATTAGATGCACAATGTCTCTCATATGTGGTGTACAATGCAAGTGCCCATGTCCAGTCTGTCTTGTCCCTCTCAACGAGCTCCATGACCTGTCCAAGACATTTCCGATCAGGTCTGCGAAAGATGCGCAGGCCGCGCTCAACATTTACAAACACAACCAAACTCAAGGAGAGGAAGTTTTGAAAGGGCTAGGATTGCGTCCAGTCACAGTAAGTCAATTTTTCTTCTAATCTTCTCAACTAATATATTTTTAGAATGTCCTGTGGCTCATTGAGAATTCTGACCCTCATGAGGCATTAAGCCTGGATGACTTACATACTGTGCATGGTGGTATGGAGGGGGGGGGGGGTACATTTACTTGGAGAATTGAAGATGATCCTCGCTGATCTTGGATGTGAGGCCGAGGACAAATTTGAGAAACAGTAAGTCTTTTTTACTATGATTGACATCACTAAAGCCCTTGCACCCAGGATCGCTGAGTTCCCTCAATGGTGCGCTCTCACCCATTTCACCACCGTCATCCATATCACCTTTAGCGATGGCAACAAGGGGCGGGACTTGGTCAAGGTATGTACATACACACCCATTGATGTTGAGTTTTCTTGGCTGATTATCGCAAAGCAAGCATTTTATGTGGCACTCAGTGTTTTAAAACACCAAGTCAGTTCAGAAGGCTACCACCTTCTTTGGGTCATTCGCAGTTACCTGCACTTAGATAGTTTAATCAGGCTCGATGTGCATACAGAGTGGACACTTGCAATGATAGACGCCGATTTCCTTGTCTACGATATCGCACTCAAGGTAATCTTCTCTTTCTTTTCATTGAATTGTCATTGGTACTGACACAATACTAATAGGCTTATTTTGAATATGCCACCACGTCATCCTTCATTGAGGACATCAAGACAGACTGGAACTTTCCAAAGACACATCTTTGGAAACATGCGCAACGGGACATCAAATTGAAAGGTGTGGCATGTAACTTCAGCACACACCCAAATGATAAGCTTCATGGCCCGCTGAAATTGGCCTATCTTTCTCAATCAAATGGAAAGGACATTGCTAAACAGGTATGCACACTCGTTTGTTCACGTTATCTTGTTGCTAACAGCTTGTATATACTTGTAGGACCTTCCCATTGATCATCATAAATGTGCAGCCCTGCTTTTGCGAGGATGTGTTGATACCCTCGACGAACAGCACCACCTGCAAGCCTTAGGTGATGCCAGGCTTGATGTTTCAAGCTTGGCTCCCCTTAAAGTTGTCATACTATTCAGGACATTGAGAACAGGCTCAGTGCTCAGGATACAGTGTTTCAAGGCTTTTACAGGAAGTTTTCTGATTTCGTCAACATGTCGTTGCCTACATACAGATACCAGTTGACGAGATGAACCACTATTCTGGTTGATTTCCAGGTATATTACTGATTGATTATCTTGTCATTTCACGCTAACTGGCATATTACTCAGATTCATGAATACCACTACCTCAAGCTCAACTATGAGAGTACTGTCAACTGGAAACAGTCAACAGACCACCTCCGGTCCAATCCTTCTTTCCATGGTTCTCTGCGCTTCAATTGCGCACTCATACAGCTTACTGCAGCAAGAACTGTCTTTGTTAAGATTATACTAATGTTTAAATGTGAAGTTACAGATGTCGGCACTGTTAAGACCATGCACAAAGGGTAGGACTGATTCCAAGGGGCTTGGCTTCAGCTCGTGCGCTGCGCCCCTTACCCGAGTATGTGCCCTTAACTTCAGAATGAAGTCCGGAGAAAGTCCAGTGAAGTCCGAAGGACTTCCGGAGAAGCGTGGGAAACTTCGGAAGGACTTTCCGGACGAGTGCGAGAAACTTCCGGATGAGCGCGGGAAAGTTCCGGAGGAACTTCCGGAAACTCGGAGGAATGGAGGATCGGATGAGTGGATGAGTGGAGGAGCGGAGGAGCGGAGGAGCGGAGGAGCGGAGGAGCGGAGGAGTGGAGCTCCGGCCTAGGGAATTCCTCCCTAGGCCTGAGATGGATGATTACTAAGTCGGAGGAATAGAACTGTTACGAGGACTTAGTGTGAAGACTAGTGCGAGGACTAATATGTGTATGATATTCAGACTGAGGAAATACAGGAGTATCTACTGGGGTTTATATACTAGAGGCAAGTCTGTGCAGATCAGTAAGCAGAGGGGTAAGGCTATGTACGAGCATGTGGAAATGTATTAGAAAATAAGACGGATCATAGGAAATGAACTCGGAGATGAAATGAGGTACGGAAAATGAGGAAGTCTAACTCAAGAAGGAACATACAAAGGGATAAGGCACGGAAGATAGACGCGGGTCGGATCCGGATGTCCGGAGATGAATGCGTGATAGGTCTGGGTCTGGAACACAAGGAAGATAGACGTGGGTCGGATCCAGATGTTCGGAAGTCCGGAGACAGGTGATTACCATAAGGGGATGGGCGCTGATTTAAGGTTTGGGTTCGGACATGACAGATAGGTCGGATCCGGAGATCCGGAGATGTGGATATCAGATCTGGCGTCCGGATATCAGATGCAGGAGTACAGGGATCCGGACGGATAGAGGATTGGGTCTGGAGACATGGACAGGAGGTCCGGAGGTCTGGATGAGGCGTGGGAATGTCGTCGGATGTTGGGCCGGAATGTGGGATATGACAGGCACCTTCCAACTTCATCAGGGAATTGTCCACAGTATGACAAAGACTTAGCTAGCTTTACCTGATGAATAATATTGAAAATATACATCATAATTGCAGATCAAATGATAAAGGAATAGATAGGTAGACTACAGTGGCAGTATCTTCCAAATACAACATGTTGGCAGACTTATTGGGATCCACTAGCATGATGTTATGTGTTTGTCATATATATATGGAGACAACAAAGAGTTGTCAGGTGATAGAAAGCTGCTGACTTTTCACCAAACATGCCTGGGTTGATATAGGTAGGTTCTAATGGCAAAGTTCACAACCACGGACAATGTGCCAGGAGGCAACAAAGAATTACCTAGTGATAGCAAGCTGCTGACTTGTCACCAAACATATCTGACCTTACATAGGCATGTTGTGATGGCAGAGTCCACAATTACTGACAATGTGCCAGGGGTGATAAAGAGTTGTCAGTCAGTGCCATCTTGCCTTGCCCATACCCCTGTCACAGTATAAAGATTCCCATGTTATGAAATGAGTGATCCATCTTCATGTTCACAATACTGCATCGAATAACACTGAATATTCATTAATAACATTACTAGGGTTCACAAGCATTTGCAGTACAGTACAGTTACGAAACACAATAAACTAATTAACAGTATTAGCAGCTCGTTCTCGAAGGGCAGCACTTTTTCCTGAATTTTTGCCAGTGCACTATTCTTGCTGATACTGCGCTGCGAGGAGGAAGAATTAGGAAAAATTCGACTACACATGATATTAGCTTGAAGCTTGAGATTGATGGAATACACTACGAACCGAGTCCACCAAGTCATCAAATCACCTACTTCTTCACTTTCGTCAGGATCCTCCAATAGGTCAAGAATGCTATGGTAGAAGTTTTCTGAATCTGTGACTGTATCAGTACGTGAGAATACAGACAAGGAACTTAACGAAAACCCAATCTTGAGGCATAATCAATACCAGATACATAAGAGGTGAAATTCATACACGCCTGCATGGCAATATATGCAAGGGAACCTTTAGTTGCGGATTTCATTTCATGGAGGTATGCGTTGCTGGAGCGTGTGGCTTTGGGCTCCTTATCCACTGAGCTTGGAGATGTGAATACATGTTTGAAGCCCTGTCGAGGGAAATGGTTGCAAAGTGAGAGTTTTATCACGAATGGAATGGACTCACGAACACAAGTATCTCGCTTCTCAGTAAGCCCTTCCACGGATCTTCGGAGTCATAAACGTAGCCAGCATATAGAAACATTGGCCACTGGTCACCATGGACTGCGGTTTCACCACTCTTAAGACTTTGCTTGGTTCTGGATAGTATCATGACATTTTGGTTATGGGATAGTGGGTCTTCAAACTTACTCTGCATTCGACCAGTCGAGGCCTGCAGGGCAGAGCAATGCACCAGTGATATCATGATTGAACCCCCGGTCAGACTTGATGTTTCGGGAGAGAGGTGGTATACCGGCCTGACCTCTGGGCACAAGCCATTCAAGGATGGCAGATTTGAGGGTCTTAGTATCGTCCCCTCGTGCACCAGAGGCCCCTTTACCTAACTGCAAAAAGTGAGCATCATAATCTTCCAACATACAAAAATTAACTTACCAGTTCTCCAACATGGATAACATCCTCCTCTTCGTCACTCGTCAGACAATCCATAAGACCAGGATAAGAATCTACGAGTTCCATGAATACCCTGTGTTCTCGCCGAATGCTAACATTGACAGCACGTTAAGTTCTGGTGGCATATGGTGCAACTGAACTCACTTAGCTGGGAAATCCTCTATCGGTGAGTCCTGCAATTTTCCAAGCCAGAGGATACCTGCTGTCAGGAGCGCAGGATAGTTGCATAGTGCAAAAACTGTACGACCAAAATGTCGACTGTGCAGAACGAGTGGATTTGACGAAGTCCTGGTCAGGAAAAGTTAGGAACATGAGGATTTACTACTGACGGAACATGTACACCTTTTTACGCGGTCCCACGTGAAGCGCTGAGCCACTGCGCTTGCGTGATGGTTTGCTAGGAGAGGGATTGTTTTCATCATTACTCATACCAAACTGTACGAGGTGGTTCTGATACCATAGAACATGAGACACTTTATAAGTCTGAAGACCAACAGTACATAATGACAACAAACTCACCATCTGAGCACCATCGATATTGTAATACTAATATCCTCATCGTCCGTTCGCCATTAATATTGTAATACTAAAATTCTCGTTGTCCGAGCGCCATCACTTTCATAATAAGAAATGGACTCGCCATTCAATGAATATAAATATTGGAGTGCATGATCATCGCAAAGAGCTACAGTCACAGGCACTATAGCAAAAACGATCAGTGTCCTCATGCACAGCAGTGAACATTTGTACCTGACATGGCCGACTCGCCCTCTCTGAAGCGATACATCAATGTTAGAAATGATGCAACACCAAAGTACGTCAGTGTCAGGTGGGTGATATTAAACTAATCAATTTACCTCAAGTTCCTCAGTGCGAACACCAAGGAGATCTGATGCAGATCACCGACAAAGATACAGAAAAGCAAGATCTAAGCTACATCAAGTTAGAGAACAGCTCAGGGACGCAGAAAGAACTGCTGCGTACCTTTCGGACAAGGTGCATATGTACAGGTATAGGTGGCTTGAAGAGTACTACTGCACAGAAAACCTCGAGCACCACATGCCCCACGGCATTCACGTGCCTGAGGTTTCCTGGCAGATCCCAATAGGTGCTTCTTCTCTCCGCTTCTCTCCATACATAGGGTGGGAAGATATAGGTTCGGAATGGGGAGAGCATAGTGATGGACATGATATTTGAGTTTACGTATATCTCACACATCTAAGGATGGTTTGACTCCATATACACGCCACACCTGAGCGCCACCTCCTGTCAGTGTGCTTCGCAGTCTACTGTATGCAGACCAGTATTTGTTAATGACATTCTTGTATATTATATATAAATGATGGTAATTGGGATACTTGAGATAGGTACAAACAAACAGCAGGAAGCGAGTCCAGAATTTTGTATCGTTACGTGAGGATTGGTGTGTGAAGTCATGTTAGCGATGTGAAGTAGTGGAAATAGAGACAGCAGCCTGTGCTTGCGAAGATTGGGCTTGAGGCGCACCATTCCATAGTGTTGCTATTGGGAGGGCAAATGGTGCTTGCGGCATGGTTCCTGGGTTTCAATGTAATTATTTCCATCTGATTTTTTCTTGCTGATGTGTTCCTCTGTGTGATATGAGAGGGGGTCTGAATATTTGAGAAAAACAAAGATGACATACATGTTTGCCCTTGGTATACGGAAGGAACATCGACAACTGCTGAGGGACGCAGAGCTCGACATCTTCACCACTTCATCTTCCAGAAATATAACTTTGAACCCAGTGGAGAGGGTGAAGTCGAGATGATGTACCGTGATAATCAGGGTATATGAGGTGGAATAAAGAAGACTGGCCACTAAGGGTGCTTGCATGCGATACCCATGATCGAGGGTGGAGGTGGTGTCATACAGAAACCTGAGAATATCAAGGTCAGGAAAAACAATACTGAATGAGACATTAACGACGTACATGAGCACGATCTGGTAAGTCGTCAAAAAACCTTGGGGTATCAGACACCAGGGGACGATGATCGGGTGACAGACTGGACACCATGTAGCATCAACCTACATATGTTTATATGATTGGTGAAATCTAATTATAAGTGTCACATACAGTGAGGACTGATTTGCCATAAGTTTCTTGAGGCCAGTTTCTTTGACTATCGCAGAAATGTTCTGAATGTACCCAACAGCTTTTGTTCACCACAGCTAGTAACTAGTAGTTTATTTATTATCAGGCAGTGTTGCATCTACTCACAACTCTCAAGTCAATCGCCAGTGAGACAAGATTATCACTACCAAAACTGTCTCAAGTCTAACCAAGGCACTACAGTAATAAGGAAAAGAAGAAGGTAAAGTGCTTCCTACAATCTACTAGTAGTACGCAAATAAGCTAATTAGGGGGGTCAACACTTCATGGCTGAGAAAGAAGTTTATCAACGGAAGAAACATCTTGATATAGTGAATGACTGTTCCAAACTCCGTCGGAATTTGCCTCAAACTTTCAGTGACTAAGCGGGTATTTCCGGCTGGGTTTGAATATATTGCCATTTACTATATGAGCGCATCAACCCATTGTTATGATCTCTTTTCCGAATTGTGAGACTATGACACGATGACCCAGATTTTTATTGTGATTATGTAGAGTAGTGTGGTGATTCAGATGATCGGAGTTTGGCTGGTGATAGCACACATCTGGCAGCCGCAGTTGTGGACTGACTATGACTCGGAAAAATATTATATTGCATACAACCACTGGTACTAGTACTTACCAATACCATAGAATGGAATTTTTCGCACATTCTATATCATTCACCCTAGATTTTGGAGCTATATACACTATGTACTGTTGGTTTAGTGTATACTATAATAGGGCTGGGACTTAGCAATTGAGTCCGCACTCCCCAGCACCGGTCCACACTTGAAGCCAACAAAAGAAAGTTCTCAGTGGCCACAACTGAAATTTGATACCCTAGTAATCACCTCAATTAGTCATTCACTATAAATACTGATCACACACATTTTCAGGTCTTCTTTCTACTCCAACTACTTCAATACATACATACAGTACTGCTACATACAACATAGGATAGACTTCTGAAGAGATCAACACAGTAAGAATACCAGTCAATATTTTATAAGACGGAATTAACGTAAAGACTGCACAGACTCATAATGACAAAATGTGCAGCACCCAAGAGTGATCCCGTCGACGTTGAACACCCCTCGAAGCGCATCAGGAGTAATGATAGTGAGTTATGATAGTAATTACATTGTCATTATAATTGCTCATGAGTATGATACAGGAAATTGCACGCCATCTGCACTAAATGATGCAGGTGCATGGCGTCTTCTACAACGGTACCTCCAGTCTGATCTGGGCTACACACAGATGGAAGATGGATTAATATTGTACCTTGGCAAACAATACTGTGCGGATGACTGGGCAGACTAGATAAGTGGTGCCAGTTGGTGATTTCAGTTCGGATTCGATGAATAATGAATGCTCACGAAGTCAATCCCAGCAAGCCTACGACCCTCTTTTCCGAGATATGGAGAAAGAAAAAACACTATGTGCAGAACACCTTTTTGTAGTGAATACTGGAATCGTGATCTTTTAGGTAGTTGTTGTTTTTGCTGTTTGGTTTTGTCGCATTGTCACAGACCTTGTATTCCAGCTAGGTTGTTGTTTTTACTTCCTTACACTTAACAGCTTTGAGTTTTCTCTTTCATGCATCCTTGGCATTTGTATTCTGTTTCCATCGTTTCCATTGTTGTGTTGCCGTTAATAATGATTGATATATCCCAAATGCTTTGCTTTTTGCATGACACTTTCTTGCATAACCCAACCCCAGCCTTACACATGCCCAGAATTTCGCACTGGTCATATAAGCGCCATTTTGGGCCTCTTACCATGCATTGTGAATTCCCTCCTGAACGCGCACTGGACCCTCCTATATTAACGCAGCACAAAGTCTTTTCACAAGCAGTCGATTTAATCTCCCCCACAATGCCGGGCTTACCGGCTCCTTTGACATCATCTGCTCCTCCCAAGATTCCGAAACCTCGAGGTGAAGTCAGTCGTCTCAACCGAGGAGGCTACAACTTACAAGAGAAATTAGGGTGGTCACTATCAGAATACGAAGACATCTTGTGCAAATGTCTAAGCGACCATCTAGCACCCAAGAACACGTCAGGGGACCTCGCAAACGCAGTAAAATATCTCAGGAAAAATCAAAGGTAAGCCGCTACTACGCAATGGCTTCCGTGCTAACAATGTGCGAAGGCCGTGTCTTTTGTGGATCTTGAAGCAGAGGTCGCCTCAGAGGACGAAGACGATGAAGAAGAGAATGAAGATGGTGAAGTTTCATGGATGTATTATTGTACACTATCTAATTTCTTTTCATCCAGATTGATTGTTTCTAGTCTCAGACAACATCGTGGACAATGAGTCCAATGACAATGCCGTGCATACTTCGTCTCCTTTGAAGGATGTTGGTGCTTGGGACATCTTTTGGGAACACCTAACGACAGACATGTCCTTTGAGGACATGCTGAACAAATTACGCACTTATCTCGGCGTCAGATATCGTGAAGAAGATTGGAAGGAGGTGGTGGACTCTTTATTCAGTGGGGACGGCAATATCGATATCGCATTAGATAACCTTGTGGGCATCAAAGCACGCTACATTCCCGTTCTATCGGACAGAACCTCGGTCAGCCCCTTGTCAAGTTGTCCCGTAAATAGTTTTATGAAAGTGGTTGAAGACATCGATAAGCGGTTCGGCCAAGGGGCTGTGAGGCCACCACATATCATCTTGGATGATCGAGAATGCGATGATCGACAATTGATTGCGCCTAGAAAGCCAGGTGAATGGCTTGTAACAGTACCTGGTATGTGTCTAAATTATTAATCCATTTGTGTCGCTGCTCAGCAAGTTTGCAGCATCAAAGACATCATTTCTTGCAGCGTCCATCCAAGCATTTGGCTTACAAACTTACACTCATCCAACACTCCCCGGACATTTGTATGTCACCGCACCCAATTCCCTCATCATCCAGGCAGCCTTTCCACTTTCCCATGCTGATTGCCTTCTCTGGTGCACATTCATTTCTGATGATCCGACTCGGCCCACCACCATGGCCCTTCCTGGATGGTATTGCATGACCCATGGAGCATACAATCGTGATATAGCATATGGGCTATCATATGACAACTCAATGAAGACGGTCAAGTTATTAGTAGCATCCAGACGACTAGGCAATCCGAGGGATATTGGGAAGCTCAGACAGGAGCGTCGCCTCCTTGAGCACCCCGCCGGTGTTGATCAATACAGCTACCGAGGTCAAACATACATCCATGGCCTCATGTGCGTTGAGCGGCATCTTATGGATGTCATCAGAATATCCCTCCCTACCGCGCAGGACATTGCCCTCCACAAGGAGTCGAGGTGCAACCCAGAATTCGTCTCTGTCACCATGCATATCTATTCCGCTCAGCACTGGATAGAAGGTGACGAGGTGCGGGTCATCTCTGGGACTATGGCAGGGACCTGGGGCAACATACTGACTGTGAAGATCGATGATGGCACGGCATTGGTGGACCTGGCCTATGTCCCAGGGTCAAACAGCGAACTTATCAATATAGATGTACCAGTCTCATTTCCTATCACAGACCTGCAGAGACGTATTCGCTCAGGGTATCATGTCCGTGTCTTGAATACAAGTGCAGAGAAATCGGAGTATAAGGGCAAGGAAGGAATAGTTCTTGAAGTTGTCGGTGATACCCTCGTTGTCCTGGATTCGGATACAAAATCTGAGGTGTGGTTGCTCACCTTTGAAAAAGTCAATAGCTGATGCACCAATCTAGTTCGTTGTATCAAGGAACTCTGTCCAGACCAACATCGTCAATCATGGGTTATCCACTTCCTTCAGTACCATCGCGCAAACATCGACTGCACTTCCTGACGATCTCAAACTGATGAGAGGTGATGATGTCATGGTACAAAAGCAGGGGACCTTCACCTGAAGACAGGGAAAGTAATAGCTGTCGATGCTGCATCGAATCAGTTGACTTTCCTCGTCTCGGGCACACTAAACACCTGTCTGACAGTGCCAGTTCCCTGGATCAGTGTGTCTCCTAATCTATCTGCCCTGCGATTTTCCCCAGCGCACGGATATGATGTGGCAGCCGGGGATATCATACGAGTTGTAAGGGGGGCAGCATGGAACCTGTCGGGCACTGTCCTTGATGTTGACCTAAGCAACAATACCTTGACATTCCAAGGTCCCTTCGCAAAGGTACGGACAGTGTCAGTCTCATTCTTTGTTCTCATTTGACTGTGTCTGTCTCAGATCACAATTCCTATCACTCATGCCACCAGAACCAGCTCGGCAGTGGAGCACGACCCCATGAAAAGCTTCATTGGCAAGCAAGTAATTGTTATTCATGGCCATATAAAATCGCTGCATAGAACACTGCGCTCTCTCGCACACGATACCTGTCAAGTCGACCTCTTCCAAGGTCAAAGGCAACAACTTCCATGAAGCCATGTCATCAGATCAGTCCCATATTTACTGGTCTCTTTCATCACCACTCATGGGCAGACAGTGAAACAGGGGAACTTATTAACGGAGGTAGATTGTCAGCCGCACAGTTGAAGATATTCATTCAGATGTTGCGTCAATCATACATCCAGAGGCCTACGAGAGCCTGCACCCCACCTCCAAGTCCACCTCCATCACAGTCTGCATCCGTGCCCCACCCTGATCCATGGTCACTTGACCCCAGCGACGAGCTGTTTGAAGAAGCGCCATCCATAGTCCCTGGTAAGCTTTCATAACATAACTGTTCCGCATGGAAGTAATACAAGTTACCTTAGAATATGATCCTTGGCGAGTAAATCCTGATGACGAGGGGGAGAAACATTCTGATATCCCAGATTCATCCCGTGAGTCACTTCAATTACTATTGCTTCATACCATTTAACTTCTCAATCAGCCATACAATTCCTCTGCAGTAGCAGATTAAGCTCATTGCTAGCTCGGTGCCAGTTGGTTTTAAGGGTTCTACCGGCGCCATCTGGTACATGGTACCAGAATTATTATGATCGCCTGGTTCGCACACGGGTTCCGGATCCATTCCTTCTGATGAGTGGACCCATTGCACATGGAAATGTTGCGGTTACATACATTTCAAGAACAAGGAACACTGGTCAGAAAGAAGATGAAATTCCAATGTGCTACATTAGCGCAGAGCCCCCAACAGGCAGCGGCAAGCGTTTTGTGGTGATATGTGGAGATGATATGGGGACTGTCTATATTACCAAGGTTGCAAAGAGGAACGAAGCCATAATCACGATGAAGGAAGGAAAAAAATTTCCTCGTGCACATACCTGCCTATTGGGTGATGGCACCATGTAATACAAATAATGACTGAGTCGCATAGATACCCCTTTAGAAAGTAGTTAATTGAAATAATCATGGATTTTGTACATAACAGTTTGACCCGCCTGTTGTGATAGGCCTTGTTTATTGTTGCAGATTATACGGCACCCGTAACCTTGCCAGTAACTGTCAAGCCTTTATAAACCTCTATAAACACAGAGCCCAAACCGCTCGCTATTGCACACTTAATTTTTTACACATGCCTTACGTATGTCGTTCTCTTTGCCCAAAGCACCGCTGACATATAGCACAAGGACCAAACCACCACTTCGGTTCCAAGTCTTGGGTCACATCGAAGTCGAGCGCACCCTGTCGGCCGTCAGAGAAGAATTGAGCCAATGATTTTACAACAGGTATTCGTCTGTTTATTAAGTCACCCTTGGTGATGCTAACTTTATTGCAAACTTCATAGCCACCATACACCTAGCTTGCGCAGGTGACATCAGTCTGATTGCCATAGGGTTCTTCTGCTTTGCCCTCGGTTTCACCCTCTTATCTTTGGACTATCCGCAGAGAGGCATATTCAGAGTGGTATATTATTGGTGTTTAAACAAATAAATTTGATCTACATGCTATCAATAGTGTAATAGTTTGTGCGAACTTAAATTGGTTAGGGGTCAGAGCATTTGTGGCTGATTTTCCCAGGCTGAGTTTCATTGAGTTTCATTCACTATTTAAGCCTCAAAAACGCATTACTGATCTCTTTTCTTTCAATGTACTACTGTAGGACTTCTACATACCCGTTACTACGCAGATGTACAATAGAAACATAGTATTAGATTCAAGGGGTATCTTATTGGCAATAGTACCGATTTACAATAGCATTATGAACCCTCTTACAGTACTTACTCCTATTAACATTGCTCGAGCAACAATCGCGAACAATAGCAAACACAGTAACCAAGGGCAGGCCGAATAACCCAACATATGAACACAAGGTTTCGTGAGTGCCTAGTCCCTTCTGTTGACCGGTTTGATGATTATGATTGTCTAGATAACTGATTTTAAGGCATATATCTAACAGGGTGAATTGTCCCCAAGTAGCCATCACCCACACATGTCTTTGCCTAACAGTAGTTCTCCCCTTGGTCCTTTAGGGGGACCACCCATGGATCCTCCGCCTGGCAAACTTGCATCAGCACTTCACAAACTAGGCTCCGTCATGTGAAAGTGAGAACTCTCATTTCGGTCATGCTTCTCGTTCTTCTAACATTTTTCCCTTGCAGTTTCACGACACGCGGCTCGTCATCGGCTCAAGGTCCCCTCTTGCCAGAACATCGAGAACACATTGGCAAACATCATGCCACACCAATGTACTTGCCTTACGTCCCATTCTGTCCTCGTGCCATGAATGCAATACTTATGACCCACCCTTCCATGCCTATCGATACACCTTGTGCGGTGAATGCATTACCCACAACTCACCCCTCTGTGCATATCAACACAGAGCCTCAATCCATGCATCCAGTGTCACAGTCTTGCACTCCACGGTCTCACTCTCCATCCCTTACTTCTGTTGTGGCTGTGAGTCAGGCACCAGTTAGTCGGCCAGATACTCCTTATGGTGGATCGAGTGTAGATTGTAGGAGTCGTCGAGTGTTGAATCGGGCAGATGAAGCGCCATACCGCAGAGCCAGCAGTTGTTCAAGAAGTCCCGATATGTCAGGTCGTGCCAGTACTCTATATGCTGGTCAGTGTCAATTCAGTGCATGTCCAGCTACGTTTCACGCTAACATTTCATCACAGGCGCTGGGTGTCAGCGGTTGTTGTCCATGCCTCCATCTAGTGGTGGGGAACATGATGTTTTGATGGACTATGACCTTCCTCTCCAAATGGAAATTGACCATGACATGCTTTCAATCCAGCCTTGAGCCACCAGTCTCGCCCTCACGATGGACATGAGTCCCATCGTTAATTCCAAATCCACAGATCTCCCACTCCAAACTCCTTCACTAGAGAGACCTTTTATAATGCCCTCCACCATTGAAACTCATCTTGACCAGCTTGTCACACAGCGCTTTCTCAAACTGTCTCACAACATGTTGACGCCGGCTTTGAAGGATGCTATTGACGCTATGATTCCTTCTATGGTCGAACATCTATCAGACGATATGAGAAACATCTCCATTCGCCACCAGCCTCACACTCGTAAGGAGGATTCTTCATCAGATACCCAAGCAAGTGACAGCGATGATGGTTTGGCACCTCATCCCCGGTGGAAGCGCCCCAGCAAGAGAGGCTCAAAGAATCATTTGCATGTATGTATGCTAACATTCCTATTTAATCATGGCAACTAATTATTGTAGGTTGCATTCCGCAGCTATCTACGAGAGAAAAGGGTACTCAAGGGTAAAAATGGCTCGCTACCTCAATCTCCTCCAATCGAAACCATTCAACCCTTCAACCACAATCACGACTGTTGTCCCACCCTAGACGACCTCTCCATCGACTGGAGCGACTCATTGAAGAAGTTTTCATGGAATACAGAAGTAATCAACATCCTAGTTGTAGACTTTCAATTAAAGATCAAGAACAGCACCTATGTGCAAGTTCTTTTCCATACAGAGGCCATGAGTCTTGACAATTTGCACTCATTGTGTATCGACAAGCTATGCCGAACTCAATTTGAGTGTCGGCAACGTATGCAGATTGGCAAATATTCCAATTTGGAGGAGATGAATTCTGTGTCTCGTGCATTGTTAGGACGCAATGAACAAAGACAATGCTTAGATAGGTGCAATACCCGAAAACATGGGGTAGGTGGACAGTGTTCTATCCTTGTATCATCTGAATGCCCTTTTAGACTCTTGAGAGACGTAGAAAAATAGTGTCACAAAATCGACACCGTAACCCTGACACTTGGGACACAATCGGGCGCATTATCAATCACTTAGACGTTGATGGAGTTAGCGGGGATGAAACGGACACACCAATCGGGGCGATACCAAAGGTAGTACGGCGAGTAGGCCTTCCATGGCTCAATCCCAACATCACTCAGTTACTACATGCTGTGGAAACATATGCTCCAGCAACCCATGAAGAAAATATGACCATTCCGATTGAAAACTCATCCCTTCTGCGTATCTTGGAGCAGAAACGTGCAGCTCAAAATTCCATTGCGATTCAACGGCTTCCACACAACTGGTATAACGACCACTGGTATAAAGCTAATTTGAGTAGTGCCCACGCTCTCCTGGAGACTCGCAAGTCATTGATTATCCCAGCATTGGAGCACTATCGTTCTCAGAAACAACCATAAACTACAATGTATGTCATTTTGGTCTCTGTTGTATTTATATCACTGAAAATGAATCTACTATTAATAGTGGTTGAATACTGGAGAGTAGATTACGGCAATGTCCGGCTGAGTTCCATTCACTATATAAGCCTCTAGATGTTGTTAGTGGTTTTTTTTTCTCGCATTAATCATTGCATCATCTACATATACCCATTTCGTCATACCCTGCATTTGTACAATAATATCCATTCATTGAACTATCATGTTCCCTATGCCCACTGTACAAGTGTCTGACGAGGCCAACGGCACCCCCCCTGCAGAACAGAAGACGCCCGAGCTGCTGCCACAGATACTGGCACCACCAAACGACACTCCCATCAAATGTACTTGCGCTACGATGCAACCCTTCACGACCAATACACGCTGCCGAAATACCACTCTCAACACTATGGGCAATGAGATAAGAGGATATCTCGTTGGTCCGATGCCAGCCGAAGAATTTCTCGAAGAATTCCTGTCGCCTACAATGATCCCAGATTATCAACCTTTAACATCCTTCTCAGAGGGCGCCTTCGCCAGCACGGTTTCTGCTGCCCTGGAGACCGAAGCTTATAATCCATTTGTAAGTGCTTCAACCATGAGAAGATTGTTATCAGCCTGACTACGAGTGCAGATCAACACTATGGAATCTTTTGCTCCCGGTCTATCGTTTATTGACACCCACAGCAATGCAGACAAGATAAACTGCAAAGCATTTTCCTTTCAAATCAAACCGGACATCTGTGTTTATGCCGATGGGATACCCCACGACAGACAATCCTCCTGTGATATATCCACCACAGAAGTGGTCGTTGAATTCAAGTGTGAACCACATCACAATCTGTTCTACACACCGGCACATGGCTCATCGCGCTTTATATCTGAGACCGACAAGGCCATGGACACGCTGGGACAAATAACGAGCTATGCTGCAGCTCAACTTGGCGCACAATATCGGACTCACGCATTCTCTGTCCTGATCGTCTGTGAACAAGCTTACATCTTAAGATGGGACAGGGAGGGAGTTACCGTTTCTTCCGCTATTTATTACAATAAAGAACCACATTTAGCAGAATTTTTCCATCATTACGCACAGGCATCACCTGCAGTCCGTGGTGTCGACACTTCAGTGACGCTCGCTAGTGTAGAAGAAGCTAGCCTTGCAAGATTGAAGTTGGACCTTCCTGCTTCCTGGCGCATGTTGAAAGTGACTGTGCCTGCTGTCGATAACTCTGACCCGATTACTTTGATTTTTCCTGCACCTCAACCTGTTGGTCGAACTCCTATAGGCCGGTGTACATGCACGTGTCCTGCGTATAACATTAACAACAAAAATGTTGTTATGTTCAAAGACTCTTGGCGGGTTGCCAACCCCGACATCTTACCAGAAGGCGAGACATACAAATTATTAGCAAAACACAAGGTTTCCAATGTTGTGTCGTGCATTGCGTGTCACGATGTACCCTCTCTTCCCCAACAAGCTCCGCAGACTCACAGGTTGGCGCATGCTCCCTGGGCGTGTTCACACACCACGATCACTCCACATGTCCATTATTGCTTGGTTCTGAATATTGTGGGCAAAGAGTCTCATAAGTTCACAAGCTCTCATCAGCTTGTCTCAATCGTTCATGACACATTAATCGGTACATATTTTGTTTCCATCTTCTCCAAAGGCATTATTATATTCATATTGCTACAGCCCATAAGGAAGCATATCATAAAGCGGGTGTGTTGCATCGAGACCTTAGTGCTGGCAACATCGTCATCTACAAGGGCAAGGGCATCCTTATTGACTGGGACCTCTCAAAATTAATCACCATTCAAGGTGCTCAACAAGTAAATCGTACGGTTCGTTCATTCCGTGCCTAAGTTGGTTAGTTGTACTAAATTTTCTGTCACTAAGGGAACATGGCAATTCATGTCGGCTCACCTCATCCAACATAAAGACGCCAAACATGATGTTGAGGATGACATAGAGTCCAGTCTCTATGTCATTCTATGGATTGCCTTGATGTACACAATGACTCACTTAACCGTCCCCGCTCGAACATTGCTCGTGAAGGATGTCTTCGAAGTTGATGAATTGGAGGGAGTTGGATCATCTACCAAATCAGGTTTTCTCACCTCAAGAATGCATTTTTCGAAAGATGTATTTGTCAATCGCAAACCGCTAGACAGGCTTATTGTCGCTCTTGCAGAGCTCTTTGCGCTTCGGTATACTCTTGTCACTCAGGAGCAGCAGGATGTCTATGATCAGATGACCAAGTGGATGGAACGTCTAAATCCAGACGCCAATGAAATGACTCTCCTCACAAACATCATGAAGACAAATCCTGTTCACAAGATGAAAGAGCACATGGAGATCTTGAAGTCGCACGACAAGATACTGGCAGTTTATGATTTTCACCTTGGATTGGACGGCTGGCCTCAGGATCTTCCTGTATCACAAGATATTGCTTCCTACGTGAAGTACCACGTACAATGGCACTGCTTCACGAAGTCACAATGTTATTCATGGCCGGAACTCTCAACATCCAGCAAGAAACGTAGGTTCAAGGAAATCTAGCCATATGGGTGCTTGGCTCGGCTCAGTGGCTCGGTAATTTCATGTAGAAGCCTACCCATACTTTTCGAATATCCGCTTATGTCCTCTGTATCACAAATCAATTTTGTTTCGTTGATTGACATACGTGACCATTATCTGCTGTGATTACATTACTACAAACAATACTTGATATCATGCATTAAAAAAAATCGGACGAGTCTGTGATTGAACATTTGAACTTAGTGCCACTTGTTTTGATCCGCTACCTCCCTTTCTTCGAAAGTGTTCCACTTATACATCCCTACCCTCAAACTTTAATGATTTCCCTGGTGTTTTCAGTGTGTTGTCCTTTTCCTTCGTCTTGTTGTTCCATACTTCTTACTGCGTTGAATGCTATACTCCAACATGTTTTCGGTCCTGCCATTGAACGACTAATGCAAGAAGTGCACTCTGTTTCCCATAGGCGCAAGATTATTCGAAAGTTCAACAGAAAGGGAGATTTGGTTTGCCATCAACAGATATTTTATTACATTCTCTGGTAGCTAATTCACGCGAGTACTACTATTTTTAAGATAGACCCACAAGAAATCCGACACTACCCAATCATCTTTATAGTCGTTGAGGACAGGATGGCAGTGTAGAGACTCGCGCCTCTCAATGCCGGATATACGGCCCTATGAACCACATATTCCTTACATATTCCAGCTCTTATCCGAAGGATCAGTCATACGCGCTCCCGCACGCGCACCCTACGTACGCACCTCATTCGCATGCCTTATATGCACTCGTGCGCTTCCGCGCGCGTCCATGCGCCTCCCCTTAGGTCTTCTCGCGCCTACCCGTCCGTCCTATGTCCTCACTGATTTACTGGTGTGTTATTCTTATCTCTTTCACTGAATTGATGTGCACTCGGTCCGATCCCCGCGCTTACATACAGAAAGTCTATCTTAGACTTTAGATTATATTTAGAGTTGATATGGTTACTTGGTTCGGTACCACGCTCGGAAGCGCCGCATAGCGCTATCTCCCTTCTTAAATAGAGGGAAGTTCTTTTTACTTCGGGTACTACTTTTTCCCCCCATTTATCTCAGTATACTGCAAGTTGTATAGTGCACCTTAGTACTTGAAATCAGATTATACTTCTCCATCTGCTACAGCTCGCACCTCTACTATACTTGAAACCACATCCCTTATCACTCATAAGTGCGCTTCCGCATACGCGCGCGCCCCTCACATCTCGCGCGCCTTCGTGCACATTATCTTCTCGCGCCTACCAGCGCCCATCTAGTTGACAGAGTTTCCCTCCACCTTATTCGCAAGGAACTTCTCTCAGTAGCTATCCTTTGGGTCGAGTTGTATTCTCATATCCAGGTCTTGCTGTAGAGCCCCCTTCTTTAAGTGTTTTCACCCACAGTCAAGATTCCTCACCTTCAGCGGCTCTTCGCCTGGTGAAGTAAGTAAAGCAACTCGAGACAAGAAGCAATAGTATTCACCTCCGAAAAAACTACTTTCAATTTGGGAGTCAACTGAGCTTTTCAAGACCTTTGCACATTGAGGTGCTCGAGAGCTAAATGGATGACGAAACTCTACAAAGTAGATGTTAGCAGGCACCACAAAATCCAGCACAAGACACCTGCACAGAGACTACTGTTTAATCTAGTATAGGCGCTCAGATGATGAAAGTAGGAAAGGAAACCATGATACAAGCATCGCGTCTATTTGTAGTGAATCCCAATTTGGGAAGACCCACTGCCCGGTCCACAATCGACCAAATATGGTAGTGGTATTGTGTGACTAAGCAAACTTGAAACATCGAAGTACAAGACTTTAGGCGGTACAAGTAGGTAGTTACATGGAAAAACAGCTGTAGTACTAAGCATTGAAAGGGTTGGCACCAAATCGCGGAGGGAACCAGTTTTTTTGATGCAACCAACCCCTAGTATTCAACAAATGGGATGCGGGCATGTCAAAGTAACACATAAAGTGTCGAAAAGGCGCCTGATTGCAGAGCATGCATAAGGGCATTCACAAGCACGCAGATTATAGCAAACCGAACTAGTTGAACTGCGGTTGATGGGGATGGGGATGAAAGAGATGTTACATGCTCCTCTGGCATCTAATCCGAATCAGAAATCACCAACACTGAACAGAGCTCGCTTACCACATCACTCTCCCCCCATACTTTCATGCTACTATGCCCATTAAGGCAGGTGCCAGTGATAACAAGACACTTTGAGCGTCCTTCGTGAGACTAACTAATGTTAGTCTTATGTCATCAGCCGCTGGGCAACATGTCACTTACCACTACAGGTGTGATGCAATCGCCACGACTACCATGATCCAACTGTCCACGGTATGCACCTGTGGTGTAATCAAAAATTTGAGCAAACCCATCATCACCGCCCACGAACAGTAAGCCCGACTGTCGAGCAACAGAGATTTGCAAAGGAATATTGCGCAAAATCACATGGTTGAAGGACTGCACATGTGTGAGGTTGGGAATGGCATATTTGTCAACCCCGTCTTTGAGGTTGCTCACGAGCAAGTAATTGCCATCAAGAGCAGCATTGCCGCTGAAATGCGCCAGTTAATAAAAAGTCTAACAGTGTTAAATCAAAGCTGATGTACATTCTGCTTGAGACTTTTTCAGTGCCATTTGAGATCCCAAGGCTCTATCGAATAACAAAATCTGAGAACGCATCAGATGCAACAATCAGAATCTGAGGAACGTCGACTAACACATCACCACTTTCCAGGTATGACACCAATAATGAAGCACCCTTGTCATAAAAGTGGATGGTGCACGCAACATATACCTGCTTCTCGGGCTGAGAGACCATTGGTGTGAATGTCTCTTATAGATAAAATGTATTAGTAGACACACAACGCTACAATGGCTACGCACTGTCTGGTCTGAGGTTCCAAACTTGTGGGTGACCGTCGCCAGCACTCGCAAGTCTGCAATAATTGGGATCCCATGCAAGAGACTCAATCGCACCCAAATGGCCAATGGTAGCACTCCGGAATTCAAAAAGTGCCTAGCGTAATGACCATGAGTGTGAGCCAAACTCAATAAGCATATTATGCACTTACATCATATTCATACATTTGGATGTTGCCATTGGATGCTCCAAATGCGAACATAGTTTCTCCGCGATCATCGATGTCCGCCCAGATAATGGCACTAATATATCCTGCCGCTGGTGAATGTATTTCCTGGATCATTTCACCCGATGTGAGACTCCAAACAACAACACATCCATCATTACCTGTACACAATTTCAGCACAAGTATAGTAATGAAAATAACGAGTTACCTCCAGTAAGGAGCAATGATCCATGCTTGCTGACAGCCAATACATTGACCGCCTTAGTGTGACGATTCAGCGTGAAATTGTTGGCAAACTAGGTGGTGTCAACGAGCATAGCACCCTGATAGAATTCGATACATACCTCCATAGTCGAGGGATCTGATTATTGTCAGAGTGATTATCGGCATATAAGTATATTCGAATACACCATTAATCTAATGTTCAACAACAGGTCGAAACAATTGTTTGGACTTGCCATGGAGACAGCCAAGGCATCACCATGTATTTGAAATATGGCGAGATTGAAAACAATTGCGTAAAGCTCAATGACAATAAGTACAATGAATACAATTAAGCTGTGGTGAAGGAGCATGATCTACAAAACTACAAGAATGCACAATGAAATTCCAAGTAACGAAGTTGGGTCAGTTGCTACAGCATGGGATTCAAATCACCCTCTCACAACGATGACACCTTTAACACACGGTTCAAACCATATGCCAGAGCATCACCACGCGCCATCAGGCCATTGGCGGCGCGTGATATCGAAGACCTTGAATTGGGCATCGAATTATCCTTGAGATCTTATGACTTTGAGCTTGAGCGTCGTGACAATGTTGAGCCGAACAATTACCTATACATCGTGCTAACTGAAAGATATCAGGAGACACGAATGGGTTCAGCTATGGAGCTCGACCAACCCATCACTTTTAGTGGGACATACGGATGTCTGGACACCATTATGGCGGATGACGAGGTTAGCACGACTGCCAGTGATGGATCCACAACTTACGTGAGTGTCAGACCGGACCCCTCGCTGTTGTCCCGTCTGGAAGCCAGGCGCACATTCAGAGCGGGGAGAATCACTCTGCTAAAAGGGAGAGACTTGTCCGTGGCCTGCAGAAAACTGCGGATAAGTACTTGCTACGTCATTTTAAAGCAAATGACCTACACACCGAAGAGCTACATGAGCACATAAACATAGCACTCCGAGCCGCCATGCTGGGGCCGATGTTGACAACATGGTGCCGTGCCCAAAGACCGCACATCACACTAAGTCCAAGGAGGGCGAGCCAGCAATAGTAAGGCAGAACAATGACCTAATAGTGAACTGTGCATCTGATACATCAGTAGATTCAGACGACAGACGAATATATCATACCTCCCACAATAGCATGATGCATCATGAATTGTGTTGCAAAGGGACTGCAGTCACTCCAGAATACACTGAGCGTAAAATCACAGGTACTAGATTTCGGGGAAGTGTATCCTGACACAATGCCAGGAGGATTGGACGTCATACAATGATGCATTATTACATTGGATGTACCACTACGTTAACTATGTACTACTGGACTTTGTAACATGGAGGGAAAGAAAAGAGTTTAGGAAACAGACTTGAGAGGCTTATATAGTGAATGAACCTCAGCCCGGGCATTGCCGGCAGCCACTCAGCCACTTGCGGACCGGTTATACGGATAATACCATCGGAGATCAAACTGGGTTTCATTCACTACTAAAGGGAGTGAAACCTTGTTAGCGGTCTGTTTCTTTTCTCCAACTATTATTATAATTGCTTCACTATTTACTGAGTACATTCGTAGTACATTAAAAATAAATTCATGTATGCAATAATTAAATTGCAATAAGTGCTCCGCTGTCTAAGCAAACCGGGAAATACGGTACTGAGTGCCCCCCTAGCGGTGCACTGTATGATCTAAGCGCAGTCCCAAAATTGCGGCCAAAATAAGGCACCCCAACATATTCGTGTGCATGCTCAGCATATTTCTTAACGCTTCTCGCCTAACATAGTCATTATTTATTCTCTTGTCAAATGTAGACCAGAGTTAAAATATAGTACAGTACACATCCTAATAATGCATAATGCATAAAAAATTATAACAAATCAGGATCCAATCTTTTCGAGACGCACCAAGTCATCCATTCATAGAAATGAGCTTGGTCCATATATTGCTGTTAATGTACAATTTTTTGCGCCCAAGAATGATTTTCTAGTGATTTGTTTGTATTTTATTTATTTATGCATTATTAGGATGTGTACTGTACATATTTGATTATGCAACATTTTAAGATTTACTATTGAATATGAGTGTGAGTCATAGACGTAACATGTCCTTTATCTGGCCAAGAATCTAACAATACATCAGCTTGCGCCCACATATTAAATATTTTCATCCAGTCATATCCATCATTTGATCATGAATTTTAAATTACAACTAATGGTGAACATTTTGCGACTCTGTTCTTAGATCCTAAATGCGAAGATAGCCTTGTAAATATTAATAATTTGTCCCGAATTTGAGTAGGATATGTTATAGAGTCATATTTGGCTGCGTCTCAGGTGTCACCTCACCTCGACAGCAACACTATATATGGCTAAATGATTACGGTGACTGTAACGCTGTCATGGGGGTCCGAAGTTACGCCCGGTGGATGTCATTTCCCCCACCTCTTGGTCTTGTCAATAACGGGCAACAAACAGTGGAACACATCCCTCCCATGTTAGCATCTTTCGCCATCTAAGTATCTTCTGGCCTATCAGCACCGTTACTATTCATCCCGTACGTCGCACTAAGGACGAAATGGACATGCTCATGAAGAGCGAGTTGGGCCTGCAAGACAAAGACCCCCGGGTTCTGTGGGAGGAGGACCTCCAGCTTGCGACCTCCATCCTTCAAATCCTCATCCCGCAATCCAATCTTGGAAAATCGGAAATCAAAAAATCGCTCACATCAAGAAAGTACCGGGGGCAACACTCAAATATATGGGGCTCCCGTTTTCGATAAACAATGGAGGCTCAACGTGAAGGATCCCTTTCCGAGTCAGAGGAAACGTAAGATGCCAGTTCGGCGTGCCCCGTTGCAGACTCAAATCGAGTCGCAGATAGATACCGACGTGGAAGAGGATTTCATGCCAGAGACGAAAGGCAGCTTGGAAAAGCATGTTTTCGTCAAAGCTGGAAGGAAAAGAGCAAACTTGAAGTCTGCAGAGGAGCCGGAAGAAAAGAATTGGGAGCGTCTTTTCCGGGCGATATACTATTATATGCGCGAGATGCTCAAGGAGCAAATTCAAAAGCGCAATAGTGGTCACGTCGCGACCCTTTCACCCTCTACCTTTCAGAGAACTACCAGATCTCCGGTACTGGTCCTCAGAGTTCGCTATCAGTCCTTTTCCGGACGCCACCGATTCGTGGAAGTCTGGTCTTGTCCTCCTGGACTACAAGCTCCGAAAGTTAGACTCCTCCGAAAAGTCCTGGAAGGACGTCCTCACAGGAATCGAGATCACCCAATCTGATCTTTCCAGCGATCGCAAAATCCTTTGTTCTTGGGCATCGTTACCAAGGGTTATCTGATGATGCGGGAGCAACCATGGCGTCGTTTTGTCCTGCTTTTCAGTATCTCCAAATTCAAACTTCGTGCCCATTATATAGATCGCTCTGGCTTGGTGATATCAGAACCACTCCAGATTGATAGATTCCCCGTACGTTTTGTCGACGTCTTAAATACCACTACTTTGGCAAATCGTTCCTCCCTTGGCTTTGATCCAACAATTCACATCTGCACTCTTGTAGCACCGTCCCAAGTCACACCAATTTGCCGGACGGCTTCGATACCATGCTTCCCGGGGCGATAGGCTGGGTTTACGATAACGACCAGAACGTGTATTGGATCATGGAGATTCTATGGAAAAGCCGCGGATTTTTCAAGCGCGGAACCGTCTGTTATCGCGTTCGAGACAAGTTTGGTCGGGAGTACGCGCTGAAGGATTGTTGGGTCAACGAGGACGTCAAGGATGTCGAAATAGACTTTCTGAAAGCGGTCGACGGCATCCAAAATGTGGTTCAACTCGTCAAATATTGGGATGTACTTTATGATGGGCAGCCCGACTCCACATCGCACATTCGCAGTCATTGCCCGACATTCGTATTCAAGAAAAAAATTCATCGCCGTATTCTCTTGACACCCTGTGGGCTTCCACTGACGCAATTCAACGACATACTTGAGCTTATCGGGGTTTTTCGTGACCTCGTGGTTGGTGAGTTTTGTTCGCAAACACGAAGTCCTCTTTAATCACCATGAATTGTAGCCCACAAAGCCATGGTTGGCCGACGTGTCCTTCATGGAGACCTCAGCCCTAATAATATTATCATTTACGAAGGAAAAGGCTACTTCATAGACTTTGACCATGCAAAGTTTCTCGATGCTGATGAAAAGCTGACGAGAGTCCACGTGGTACTGTGCGTCGTGTTTTTTTTTCTGCTTATGTTGATCTCATAGTTTACAGGGAACCATACCATACATATCCTTCCGCGTTCTTCGCCTAATGGGAGATGGTCATTCGGTCCGACACACGCCCTGCGACGATCTCGAGTCGCTCTTCTATATCCTACTTGAATTCACTGTTGTGTATTTAGGACCCAAGGGTGCACTGGCCCCCCGACTTGACGAGGAGAATTTGCATCGGGACCCCGTTCGGAGGTGGGGGATCGACTATGAGAGTTTGACCTTTGATAGTCTCGCGACCAGCAGCATGTGGAAGCGTGAATTCATCCATGGTCTCACTGATCCCCCGCTAGTCACCTCGTACTTCACACCCTGCCGCCCCCTCCTCGATGAGTGGCGTCAGGCGATTTCATTCGCAAGTACTCAGTTGACGGCCATCTCTCACGACAACATTTGTGATGTTCTAACACGGGAGTTAAGCTCGATCAGTCAGCAACTTGCCCAAACACCTCCTCCTGCACTTCCATCCACGCTGGAGCCAACGATAGCTCTGTCGCCTTCTCCTGCACCACTCACATCACAGCTGGTTACAACCGTCGCCGCGTCGCTTACAGTGTCTCGATCTGTGCCTGTTCGTGCGACATCTGTCCCCTTGCCGCTTCCTGATCCTCCCTTAGCTGTCCGTCGCCCTCGTCGTCCAAACCGGGTGCCTGGCAAACGCTAGCTAGCTGGTTCGGTTTCCGTTCACGGTATACATTTTTGTAGAGTATGTCCCCCACAAAACGCAATCACTACATCCGATACCTCGTATATTCATCTTGATTTTTCGTCGAAGCATTTCTCAGAAACGTGAACTCTTCTTCAATCTCGGTTTCCGTCATTTTCGCAAAACAAATTCAGTACGTTTGACATCTCATATTTCTCCGTTCAAGCATCTCCCGCAAATGTGGACTTTCGTAAGTCTTACCCTTCGTCTTGCGTATAATTCTATGCGGCGTTCACTTGAACTAAACAAATTTCCTTCATTGCACCCTTGGAGCAACTCACAATCGGTCACATTGTCAGTCACTATATCCAGTCGCTGGAACTCTCCACTCAAAGTGGAGAAGTCGGGCCAACGTCTGATGAGTTATCAGGGATGCTTGAAGTCTGTTATGCAGGCAGGTGTCTCGATGGCCCTGGACGTCGCCATCCTCGCTATTCCAGGTTTAGGAACATCAGCAATGGCACAGACATTGTGCTCCTGTTCCTTGATTTTAGGTGTCGGGTGCATTTTTGCAGGAAATATGGTGCAACACTTCGGCGAGAGAATGGGATCTCTAGATTTCGCGGTTCGGTTCACTTCACATATCTGCAGCCCGACCCTGACATTACAAACTAGGCATACTACCTTCGTAAGAAGAGAATGGTGCTCATCATCATTACAAGCATACCAACTTTTTTTTGCGTACTGAGGTAAGTAACCTGGTTATAATCACTTTGCATTGCTCATCGACTGGTTAGCGTGATCGGGTCCATCTTAGGATTTCTTTCAGGTGTCATTAGGGACTTTAGTCCATCTGCGCCCCTAATCATCACATGCATTATTACTCTTTGCATTGTGGCGTGCCTCTTACTTGTGTTGTTGATTTCTAGCTATGGTCCAGGTCTGACTCGAATGCGGCCGCAGTGAATTTCCCTGTCCTAAAATGGATGTAATCCAGGAGTCGCATAGATTTGGGTCACTCAGGCGCCATGATCCTGGTAGACGAAGGGCATAAAGCAGAATAAAGGGGAGAGTGTAACGGTAATTACGGTTCTTCCAAACGGACGTTGTACGAAGTCTCGAAAGTGTCGTCTTTTATGATGTATTCATCCTGTTTTCTGTCCGCGATATCCTTGTATTTGGGCATTTGTCTTCCTGATTTGTCGATCTATCAACGACTGATATGGCCAAAGAAGTCGGGCCAACGTCTGATGAGTTATCAGGGATGCTTGAAGCTTGTCCTCGCCTGCAAAATCTTGTGATTAGGAAATCTGGCCCGCTGGCTGGACTTTCACGTCAGGTATCACTCCCGCTGCTTCAGCGGCTTCACTACGAATATTCGTGCATCGGAGGTGACGTCAGGCCATTTAGTTCCTCTTGGCCACTACTACAATAGTTACATTATTCTTGCTAGTACTGTAGAAGAGGCAGGTCTGGTCTCGACCAGACCTGCGCTCAAGAAGGAATTTGATAAGTTGCACGAACGCCATAGATGTTGGCGATCGTATGCGGGGAACTGGCGCGAAGACCACCTGAGCATGGAAAGTGCTTCTCCGGGAGAAAAACAGGAGGTCCAATGATCGCCATCAACCCTTGGCGCGAGGACGAACGAGTCAGCCTACTAGTGTTTAATCAGCCCACATGACGGACTCTGAAGCGGAGGGCTGAACTTCCCTGTTGTCCATATTCATCACTTCCGTGTCCGCTGTAGTATCAACCTAGTATCCGTCTTGTTGTTATGACGTTTACTCACTTGGTATGACCTTGAAGTAAAAATTTCTGACAGCCTGACGACCTCAGCGATGCCACGAATCTGATTCAAGGAGACTGCCGTCCCCTTGTAGGTGCTCGTGGCAAGTACCAAGCCTTCGTGGAAAACTGTCCCAGGTGCAGGTCCGCTGCTTTGCGACAACATAGATCATCTTGTCAAAATGGTACTTCTTCCATCACTGTATCGCGTTACAAGTGTCACGAGTGAGATATATCGAAGGTGTCCGGAAGGTGATTGCTTTGCCAGACGCACTAGCTTTTGACATGTTTCGAGATCGATGCAGACGTCCGTGAAGCATAAAATGCTTGGAACTGTGAGGTAGTAAGTTTTATGCAGCATCGTTACAATTGTAGCGTGTATTCACTGGGTACATCCTGATGCCAATAGTCTTGTATACATTATTGGCTTAATTTGTGATGGTATGATCAGAGATGGGATTGGTGTTGGTATTGGCAGAAGCTCGTCTAAGATGCATCCCTGCGCACTCTGTCAGTTTAGAGTTTTTTCAATAACATGATAGCTTACCCTGCGCATTGCAGATGCTTCTTCATCGCTCATCGCAAGCTCCCTCGTGTAAATATGCGGGTCAGTCATGTATGTATGAACTAGTACTGTGTAATTGTAGATGACCAAGATGATTCATAAGTGGTAGGGTGGTTGGCATGGTGAGGGTATGATTGGGGTTATGGACTGTGATCGGCAAGTATCAGCTTGTATAAGATTCATCCCTGCACGCTATTTAGTTTAGAATGTTCTACATGAACCAAGGACTTACCCTGCGCGATGCCGATCTTAGGCGTTGGATCAGGCGAGTGCAAGCGCGTGCACTGTTGCGCATCAACCGCGTTATCAGGGACGGTGTTGGGGGGTTAGGGGCCTCGAGTTCGTAAATCAGGAACTGCGTGTGTGACGCAGTATTACTGAACACATTACCACCGTGACCTTTGACGCGAGGTATTCGAGTTGTGTCTGTGAAAATGGGTGTATTGTGGTAGATGAGATTCACGTGCGATAAACTTACGATATTGTCCACGTTGATGCCGACGTGAGGTATATTCAGAACGCGAGACATGTTTTTGGTCTGACATTTAGATATAGATGGGTACGTTTGAACGATAATCTATTTTCTTACCGTAATTGTTCCTTTTATAGCAGTTATAAGTGGTTGATTAAGATGACGATTGAATCGTATTCAGATCAACCATTATGTAATAGTGTTTTGTCTCTAGCTTACGTCATGTTGCTTGCACTGGCTTATCATCGACATCTTGCTGAAACCGGTTCTTGGGGTATGAATAAGTTCGTCATCTTGCTGCTGAAGCAGGACAGGACTATACCATCCGTCAAGAGGGTGAATGACCGGGCATTTTGGGGGTAGACGTGACTAGATCTTTGGGGGACCGTATCAGTAAACTCTCTGATTCTACCATCCTACGAGGCTGTTATTCGGCATGCACTAGAACGAAAATTCCGAAACTTGATAGACTTGCCTTATGATCATTTCCCTCGCCACAAGCCCAACCAGTGCCGACGGATACTATCGATCGTCATATTGATGAACGCTAGCCTGCGGGAAAAGGCGGATTACCGTATCTCGGTTACGGTCCATTCTTGATGAAAAAGCGTGACTCACGAAATTACGTCGGGCGCAAAAAACTTGAGATCTGTAGTAGTAGCAAGTGGCTAACAAGCTGGTGATGATCCGAATGATGCTACAACTTGCAGGCTTGTCGGTTTCGTGATGCCGGTCGAAGATGTGCAAACCGAGCGGGCACCGATGCAAACGGGCAGACTCTTGCAAGATTTCCTGAGTCATAAGTACTTGAGTAATTAAGCTGCTCGGGACGCTCTCTCATTGGTGAACTCGCTAGTGTGTGGATTTATTTCGGAGTCAAACGCGTCCGAGTCCCTCGAGCTGAAGCTG